GGAGGTGCTCTGCCCCCAGTGCCCACCTAGGTCTCAGGAGTAGAAGAGACACAGCCTACGGGGTCTCTTCTCTGGTCCAGGGGAGCGTCACACCAGCCACCCTGTCTCCCTGCCCATAATAAATAAGGAGGGTTGTCAGCACCTGGGCGAGTGATGCTGTGGGCACCTGGACTGCCTCGTCCTTGTGATTTGATGTGAAGACAACACAGAAGGAGAACCAGCCAAGAGGGATCCAGGCAGCAGTGAACCCCTCTTCACAGGGACCCTGTGAGACCCGAGACTCACTCTGCCCACCCTGCTCCCACTTTTGGAACTGGCCTTTGTCATTCTCTGGGTAGGAGGTGGGAAGGACAACCCGGTCTCTCTTCCACCTCCTGAGACCCAGGTGGGCACTGGGGGCAGCAGCACCTCCACCCGGGGGCTGGAGAGGGTGTCCTGAATGCACAGGGCCTAACCATTCAGTGAGGCCGGCCCTGGTCCACAGTGCACTGACCTGCTGCAGGGTCTCGGGTTCCCTGGCATCCAGCTCGTCCATTGCCAACCCCAGTTTGGTGTCTTGGGAGCCCCTCGCTGGCAGGCACCCCGGAGGTGAAAGCTGCATGCCCAGCGAGGAGGAGAAGCCGGTGGGGCAGGGGTCCACCATGGAGTGTCCAAGGCCCCTCTGCTCCCCCAGGAACACCCAGCCCCGCCTGCCATGGCCTTTCTCCTCTTTAGTATGTGTCTTTGTGGCTGATGTTGCCAAACACCTTCCTCTGGAAGAGAAGGCTCCATGACTGTGGAAGGGGTGGAGGTGAGGAGGCGCTGTAGCCCTAAACCCAGGGAGCTTGAGAAATAACTTCCCTGAGCCCTGAACGTACTGTCTATTACATCTGTACCAACCGAGGCCAAGATCCAGGCAGATTCTCTGTGGAAACACTTTCCATGTCCAACAAAAGAACCAAATTAGGCCAAGATCTGGGCAGATTCTCTGTGGAAACCCTTTTCCGTCCAACAAGAGAGGACTTGTTAACCCACAGCCGAACCCCGAGACGTGGGATGTGCTGTAACTGTGGATGCTGCAGGGAAGGTGTTTGAGGGGCTTCTTCCCAGGGGGCTCCCCTGAGGCCCCTGGAGTTACTGGACCCAGAGGGGGAGCACTCGCGCTTCTCTCCTCACTGCAGGCCAGACGGTGCCCGCAACCGCACAGCCCCGCTCCCCCGCCTCCCTGAGTTCAACAGAACCCCCCCCCCCCCCCCCCCCCCCCGCGTCACGAGGCCAAAGCACAGTCTTCTTGGTGAGCAGAGCAGAGGCCGGTGGGAAGGTGGGTGGAGGCTGAAATCTTTCGTAGAAGAAAAACACGCATGTGTGTTCCTGTGTGTGGTGGCCAGATGCTGCAGTAATTGGTGTTCCCTACACATTTATGGGTGGGTTTTAATTTCTGTATTTTCTAAATTTCTTTTTTTCTTAAACGGCTGCATATTATGAGAAAATTTTTGCAATCAACCACGAGAACCCGCAAGATAAGATCTTTTTTTTTTTTCCTTTCGCTAAAGTGTTGCAGTTTTCTATGGTGACAGATGAACAGCCTCCTGCTTTTAAATATTCATTTAATTGGCTGCACTGGGTCTTAGTTGTGGCATGCATGGTCTTCAGTTGCGGCATGTGGGATCTAGTGCCCTCATCAGGGATTGAACCCGGGCCCCCTGTGTTGGGAGCTCAGAATCTTAGCCTCTGGACCAGCAGAGAATTCTGCAACCTCCTACTTAAAAAAAGATGATTTATTTACTTTTGGCTGTGCTGGGTCTTTGCTGCTGTGCGGGCTTTTCTCTGGTTGTGGGGTGTAGGGGCTGCTCTCTTGTTTCTGTGCTGAACTTCTCCTTGTGGTGGCTGCTCTGGTTGGGAAGCATGGGCTCTAGGCTCTTGGGCTGCAGTAGTTGTGCAAGGACTTAGTTGCTCCATGGCACGTGGGGTCTTCCCAGATCAGGGATTGAACCCGTGTCTCCTGCATTGGCAGGTGGATTCTTGACCACTGCACTACCAAGGAAGTCATTCCCCTCCCCGCTTCCTGCCAACATCCCACTTTAAAAAAAGACTAAAAATAATCTGTTCAGTTAGTTTTCAGGAGTCTGAGCTCTGAGGTCAGCATCTGTGGTGTCATTCTCCCAAAGGCATCTTGGCTTCAGATGCTGGTTGGGCTCATGAGTCTGGCCACCAGGGTGGGTCTTGTGGCTGAAGACAGGCTTGGCCTCTGGAGCTCTGCCCTCACCAACTCACCCAGGGTCCTCGAGCCCTGGCAGCCAAGCAGAGCCTCGCGCAGGCGGGGCTGGTACAGCCGTGGGGCCGCCGTGGTCAGGGTGGAGTGTGCAGTGGAGGCAGCTGGCTGTCTGTCCCCGTGACTGCTGGTGTCCTGTGTGCCCGTGCAGGGCGGTCACGGTGTCAGGTGAGGCCTGGCCGCTGTCGAGGGGACAGGATGGAACCTCAGACTGCTCGCATCCGCACTCCCCATCTCCCAGCTCTGCTTCAGATCGTGGCTTGTGGCTGCTGGCAGCTCCCAGGGCTGGGAGGCTGTGTAAAGCACCAGCCCCCTTGCTCAAGGTCAGCTGAGACCCCCCAGGTCTGGGGTCACACACCTTCTGGCTGCCATGCAGGTCGTCCCACTTCTGTGAGGGAGGGTCTGTGCAGGGCTGTGAGTGATGGGGGATTTGGGGGTGTTGTAGGCTGGCCGAGGAGCCAGCTTTTTGAGGGAAGGGGAGGGGAGGGAGAAGCTTTGACCTGCTCAGGCTTCCAAAGGATTCCAGGCCCAGCTTTGGTGGGAGGTGCAGGTGAGAAGCCCCTGCAAGTTTCTGGGTTCCCACCACTTTTCAGTTGAAGCCCATCTGCCTGCACCACCCCTAACTCTCCCTCCCGTGGCCCCTGCCTAAAGCCGCAGAAGATGGGGAGTCTATACGGCTTCCCTTCCTATAGGGAAATCAAGCCACAGACAAACATGTTCCTTTAAGAAAGCATGAAAGAAAGGAGAAAATAATAGTGGGTGGTTATTACTGACACGGTTCATGTAGAGACGCTTCACAAGCCTGGCACACGGAGGGAACTGAGGGCCGTTGCCCCGAGTCCTGGAGTTCACATCCTCCGCCCCCCACCCCGTGGCCCACTCTCCCCTTGGTGTCTTCTGGTGACCGGGCAGACTTCAGCCTCCTGAGCCCCTTCTGGAAGGATCAGGACAGGGCAGAGGTCATTCACAGAGGGGAGGGTGTGGTCGACCTTAAGAACGCCATTGCCTCCACTCTGTGTTGGAGCTCGGTTCTGGGTCTAAGCAAGCGTGGCTTCCTGGGGCGGTCACCAGCTTCACTCACCCAGGGTGGGGGGGCTTTGTGTCCATTTTGTCCCCTCGTGCAGCCCGGAACCCGTGGCTGTGTGAGCATCTGCTCTGCTCACAGCTCACCCTGTGGTCCATCAGACTTCACTAATGAAAGGGAAGTGTAAGGATGAACTATTCCACAAGTAAGAATTTCAAGGTCGCGACAGCGTTGACCAGAGCACATGGGCACAGGTATGAGGCCCGTGCATTAGAGAAGCCGTGGTGTGGGCTTCGAGGACCCTCCGTGTGGGGGTGGGATGGGGGCCGGACAGGGATTTCCTGCACACCCGGCTCCAGGCTCTGTTCTTGGCAGGGCGGACAACTGTTGGCACTGTCTGCCTATGTGGATGGGCTCTGGGGCTGCCCAGCTCAGCAGGAATGGCAGTGGTGGGAAGGGAGGGCGACCTCCCTTAGCACCCCTGACCTCACACCTCCTCATCAGGGCAGCCGAGTGCCTAAACGGCCCCTTCCTCATCTAGCTCTGAAGACCTGGAAGGTGTGGGGGCTGAAGGACATGCACAAAACAAAATTCTGTAAAGCAATTATCCTTCTATTAAAAAATAAAAAAGATTAAAGAAGAAAACACAAAGAACAGCAAAGGCAGGGCTTGCGTTCTCAGCCAGCCTCTGCCAGATTCCGCCTGTGGTTACGCATCAGACCCAAATGCTGGTGCTCACCTCGTATCACAGGTGAGGATAGAGACACAGAGAGGTTGAGCATCTTGCCCCAGCTCACACACCTGCTGGGGTCAGGGCTGAGAACTGGACCCCTGTGGTCGAATCTGGAGTCCAGATGCTGTGATGACCCTGAGGGAGCGGCAGAGACCAGATGGCCCATGCTGAGCCAGGCGCGCGCGCACACACACACACACACACACACACACACACGCACACACACACACGGGCACGTGGCCTTCGCCTTTGCGGCTACAGAAGTCAGAAGGAACAAGAGGGCCCCCAGGAGAGGCCAAAGGAGAGCCGAGGTCTATAAGGAGGACAGGCCCCAATTCCCAGGAGGCCGGGGAGTTCCCTTCCCTGGTGAGACTGTCTCAAACCCTAGGTTCCTCTCCCTGGACCCAGGAACTGACTGTCCAGTGACCTAACTGAGTTGGCTCCAGAATTATGCCTTCCCAGGGGTTCAGCTATGACTGGACTCCACTGCTGTCAGTGATAAGGGGGGAATGAGTTCATAGTCTGGGCTTCAGATTTGTTTGGAGACAAAATTTATTAGAAGAGGAGTACTAACAAACCATGAAGGCAATTGGCATGAACATCTCCAGAACACCTAAGAAACCCTCTGCTGTTTATCTACCTCCTCTCATGTCATGAAAGTGGAAGGTCTATTTAACAAGTAATTCTGTGCTTATCACACTCTTTCTTTAAAATATTTATGTATGTATTTATTTATTCGGCTGCGCTGTGTCTTAGTTGCAGCATGTGGGAGCTAGTTCCCCAATCAGGTATGGAACGTGGGTCTCTGCACTGGAGTCTTGACCCCTGGACCACCTGGGAAGTCTCTCCTCATGCTCCTGGGGGCAGTAACGGGTCACAGGCCTCCTCTGAGGCCCCTTAGAGCTGAGGCATGGGGTGGCTGCAGTAATCCTCCTGTGGCTAAGGTGTGGTTTGTTGGTCATGACTCACTCACACTCCCTGCAAACATAGGGCTACTCCCCTGTGTGTGTCCTCTGGTGTGAGATGAGGAGGGAATTCCTACTGAAGTTTCGCCCACACTCCCTGCAAACATAGGGCTTCTCCCCTGTGTGTGTCCTCTGGTGTCTGATGAGGACTGACTTCTGAATGAAGCTTCGCCCACACTCCCTGCAAACATAAGGCTTCTCCCCTGTGTGTGTCCTCTGGTGTGAGATGAGATTTGTCTTCTGACTGAAGCTTCGCCCACACTCCCCGCAAACATAGGGCTTCTCCCCTGTGTGTGTCCTCTGGTGTATGATGAGGGCTGACTTCTGACGGAAGCTTCGCCCACACTCCTTGCAAACATAGGGCTTCTCCCCTGTGTGTGTCTTCTGGTGCATGATGAGATGGGACTTCCGATTGAAGCTTCGCCCACACTCCCCGCAAACATAGGGCTTCTCCCCTGTGTGTGTCCTCTGGAGTGAGGTGAGATTTGTCTTCTGACTGAAGCTTCGCCCACACTCCCCGCAAACATAGGGCTTCTCCCCTGTGTGTGTACTCTGGTGTGAGGTGAGATTTGTCTTCTGACTGAAGCTTCGCCCACACTCCCCGCAAACATAGGGCTTCTCCCCTGTGTGTGTCCTCTGGTGTCTGATGAGGACTGGCTTACCACTGAAGCTTTGCCCACACTCCCTGCAAACATAGGGCTTCTCCCCTGTGTGTGTCCTCTGGTGCATGATGAGATGGGACTTCTGATTGAAGCTTCGCCCACACTCCCCGCAAACATAGGGCTTCTCCCCTGTGTGTGTCCTCTGGTGTCTGATGAGATGGAACTTCTGACAGAAGCTTCGCCCACACTCCCTGCAAACATAGGGCTTCTCCCCTGTGTGTATCCTCTCATGTATGATGAAATGTGACCTGTGATGGAAGCTTCGCCCACACTCCCTGCAAACATAGGGCTTCTCCCCTGTGTGTGTCCTCTCATGTGTGGTGAGACTTGACCTGTCCTTGGAGCCTTGCCCACACTCTCCGTACGTGACTCTCATAATCCCTGAGACCCCTGCCCCCGTGAGCAATGTGCCTGTGTCCTCTGGATTCAGTTTCTGGCTAGTGCTGGGCTCTTCTGTCATCCTCTCATGCACCCCAGAACCCCCCATTTGTCCTCCGGGTGAGTAGGAAGAGGCCCTTGAAATCCTCTTCAGCCTTATGCTTTTCAGCAAAGGTTGGGGACTGTCCTTGGCCTCATGACCCTCAGGTTTGTCACTCGGGCTGTGTGGATCTGAAAATCGCTGCTGCTGATTTTGATTGCCTGGGCCGGGATCCTCTGGTTGGAGGTGGTCTCTTTCAGATGGTCTCAGGAGGGTCTGAGAGGGGTGACTGCGTTGGATGTGTTGGCTGAGGAATTTCTGACTGGAGAAAGCCAGAGAGCAGGAGGCACATGGGTGGATCTTGGGCTTCGGTTCTGCTGAAAGAGGAAGCTTTTGGTCAGGTAGCTGGTTTGCCATGGTCAGGTCTACCCCATTAATCATCTAAGTGTTGACAGTGCATGATTTGTCTCCCATCAAGTGTCTTTACAGTCCACTTTTCCATTCCACTCTTATTCTCTACATCTACAGAAATCCAGGAAGCTTGTGTCAAGGGCCTTTTCTACATATCACCCAGATAGGGACCTTCCAGCAGCATCAGAGGCAGCGTCTCTCCTGATAGAGGTGGATCTGCAGGGACCTTTCCCTGCGTGTAAGTGTTTGAAAAGTCATGTCACAGTGGCCACAGGTGTTTACCCTACTGAGAGATAAGACTTGATGACTTAGGTGGAATCTCCTGAGAGGCTCACTGTGAGGGGAAAGGGTCTATTAAGTCAGGGGCGCCTGGCCTAGAGCTCTGCATATGAGGCAGCACAGGGGGTGGTTAGAGCAGGTGTGGGTAAAGCTGAATTTGTGGCTCCTTGTTCAAAGAGCAGCCTTTGTGCCGATCTCTGCAGGAAGTGGGTTTGAGACTGGATGAGACTGAGTGGCCCAGGTCCTCCTGACTACAGGTCTCTGGCTCCTGCTGCCCCAATTGGTTCACAAATTGCTCCTCTGTCAGTTTTCCATAAATCATAAAATAAAGGCATGTCCTTTTTCAAGCCTCACCAGTATTCATACCTCATTTATTTCATTCACACTTAGTCTATTTAACATGCACTAGGAAGCCCTGTTTAAAAATACATCTCCAGCCAGACTCTTCACACCCTCACTCCCAAGCATCTTCAGCCAGCCCACTCTCCCCTCATGTCTGGCAATGAATTGACCTCTGAGGGGACTCCCCGCTTCTGTCTCTTCCCAAAAATGAACCAAAGTATCATTACAGAACAGAGAACATGCTGCTTGCAGCAGAAAGCCTCGTGGTTGTTCTGTGTCACCCAGGAAGACCCCTGGGGCCTGCACGTGGACACAGGCCCTAAGGCTTCCGTGTCCCGTCCAGCCTCCTTCCTCTCCCTCTGTGCTTCCTCCCGCGACCCCTGGCATGGCCTCGCTTCCCGGCCCTGGGGCTGTGGCACTGGCTGCTCCCCTCCCTGGAATCCTTCCCCGCGGGTGTTATCTCTGCAGAGACCCTGCCGCACCGTCCTGCCCCACACCCCACCCTCTGCTCACGCTGACCCAAGGCACGTTCCCTGCGCTGGTTTTCCTCAGAGCACCAGCCCCTGCCTGGCATGAAGCCCCTGCTGCCCCAGGGCAGTGGTTCTGTCTGTTTCGGCACGTGGAGCCCCGTCTGGCACAGAGTGTGAACTCACATGACAACAAACTGGAACAGTAGCTGAATGCACATCACTGTACATGTGTCGCTTAGAAATGGGAGGAAATGAGGAAGAAACAGGTAAAGGGCAGAGAGCTGGTAGGTGCTAGAAAACTTGCTTTTTGCTTCTAAGCCTTTCAGCAGAAGGTGATGTTACATATTTTTTGCATGAAATATTGAAAATTAGAACTAACATTTTTAAAATAAATTTTTTTCCTAACAATCATATGAAAAGAATCAAATTCTGAGGCATTTTAATTGCAGCTCAACTGACTTTGGACTGGATTGTACTCTGCTTCGAAATCGGACCATGGAGGCTCCCCAGGATGGGATGGGGTGCTGGAAGAGGGGTGACACTCACCTCTCCCGGTCGCGAGCTCACTCTTCCCCCTGCTGTTCCGCTTGATGCCAAGGTGCTGGCCATACTCGTCCCCATACCAGACCAGCAGCTCACAGCCCGGCCTGACCACCTGGCATGTTCGGTAGAAGATCTGCCCGTGATACTGGAAGGCCACCAGGTTCTGCTCCTCATCGTCCCGGGCACAGTTGACATACCTGGGGTCGAGGCCGGGAAAGGGAAAGAAACCTCAGGTGATTAGTGCCCTCCACTCTCGGACTGTGCCCAGCTCCTTGCCTTCCGGCTCTGAGGCTGCCCCTCCTGTGAACCTTCTGTTCACACCTTCAACCAGGCCATGTGAATTCCCATTTCCAGATCCTGTTTCTGGTCCTCTTCCTGGCTGGAATGCTTTTCTCTCCTTACCTAACTAGCCATTTTTCAGAGCCCAGTTCTAGACTCATCTCCACCTGGACTGTCCGTGAGGCTGGTGACCTCCAGGTCCTCTAAACTCTCAATTAAGTTCTCGTTCATCCACAGGACTTGGTGCTCCTCGGCTAGCACGCAGCCCTCAGCATTCACCCCAGCCTGCCTTCTCTCCTGAGGCTTTCCACCCATCGCCCCATATGTATCCAGGGTCCTATTCACTTGCCCACCCCCTCCCACAGAAACTTGGAGAGAGCTCTGACATAGCTTGAGACACGGAACAGTAATAGTTTGTTCCTGTCTACCTGCCCTGGTGAAAGGGGAGGCCCTCAGAGAATGGCCCTGCTCAGGGCCATCCTGCCCCCCATTCCTTCTGAGGCCTCAGGGCCCACTTCTCACTAGAACCAAGCCTGAGGAGGTTGTTGCCCACATAGAGTCAATGTCTCCTGTGTTAAGTTATCCTGGCGCTGTGTAGTTACTCAAAGATAGAAAAATTAAGGTTACTGTTCCTAAAATCAATTGGTTAATGTCTGTTTGCAGTATGTTTTCCAAAAGGACATGGGTTGTGTGATCTGCTTCAGTAACGAAGTTCACTGTCTAAACTGAAACATAAAGTGCTAGGTAAGTGTCAATTAAGTGAGTTAAAGTGTCCCTGGTGAATCTAGACTCCTCAAGTTGTTTTCAAGTCCCCCAGTTTTGTTCAGCATATAGACTTGTGCCATATCTTGATGGCACATGCTATATTTTTATTTCATTCTTTCTAATGTCTTTTGAAATGAAAGAGCATGATATGGAGGGAAAAGAGGAAAGAAGATGTGAAAGCTGTTGAGGGACCTGGGTTGAGAAGGAAAGGGGTGTGGAATTGAGGGAGTATCGACGGCTACACACTGCAGACTCACTGCACTCACCTCATCCAGTTGGCCCAAGACGTGTCCTTTCCATCCACATACTCATAGCAGTTCCTCCCTTTGGTGATCTGAGTGTCAGAAAAAGAGTTACAAGCTTTCCTCTCTCTTTTATTTTTTTTTGGTAGGAAGCAATAGAAGAGCTATTTCCCTCTGTAGTCATTGGTGCTCTTCAGCCTGCATGGATTCAACTGCCAGTTGGACCACACGGTAAGCTCCTTACTCATCATTCCAAGTCTGAGTCTCTTGGTTCATTGAAGGCAAGGGCTCCACAAGGGAGGAGTCATTTCTGTGTGCCTGTACCACTGTGCTCCCACCTCTCCTCTGACCTTTGGATAGAGGTCCTGTGTGTCTGTACACTGTGTTCCCACCTCTCCTCTGACCTTTGGATAGAGGTCCTGTGAGTGTGTACCAAGGTGTTCCCACCTCTCCTCTGACCTTTAGATAGAGTCCTGAGTATTTGTACAATGTGTTCCCACATCTGCTCTGGCCTTTAGATGGAAGTCCTGTGTGCCTGTATACTGTGTTCCCACCTCCCCTCTGACCTTTAGATAGAGGTCCTGTGTGTCTGTATACTGTGGTCCCAGCTCTCCTCTGACCTTTAGATGGAAGTCCTGTGTTCACGCCCAGTGCACACAGTACACAGGGCTGACTGTATCATTGCCAACCGTGTTATCACCATCTGCGTCCTCGCATGTAGACATGAAGTACCCCCCACCACACACAAGCGATTAGAGGCCAGAGGACAGGGAAACGGGTGCTTCTCACCAGCCAGGCATATCCACTGTTGGCAGCCTCTTCGTCGTCTGTGATCTGGCCCTCATAGGGGCCAAAGTGCAGGCCCAGCGGCAGATCGGACGCCTCGTTCCAGACTCCAAGCCCAGCGTCAGGGATGCCCGACAGCCTGATGCTTAACCCAGGGGGCAGGGTGAGCGCTGAGCGGTTGGCGTGCCCCTTTGGCACTGCACAGTCCTTGACAAAGGCTGGGGGCCCGTGGGCAGCACAGCTGTCGATGAAGAAGTTCTGACACTCCTCACAATCTGGAGGTGAGAACAGGGAAGAGGGGAGGTATAGTGATGATGCTGGTCGTAAAGACCTTCAGAAAGAACTGGGGCACTCATGGCATTTGGCCTCGATCCTGCACCCCAAGTCACAGAGGAAGGGGATGGCCGGGGGACCAAATGGTGAGGTGAGGTTAGTGGACCAAGGCCTCGTAGCCCCTTCTCCGTGAGTGGGCCTGCGGGGACACTCACAGAGGTAGTCGTCATCCAGGGGCTCGCTGACCTCTTGGTACACGTGGCCCTTTCTTTCTCGTAGACTGTACCTCTTCACTCCAGTCTCCTTTTCTCTGAGTTCTAAGATGGAGAACAGAAGCTAAGCAAGGCTGGTGGGGTCTGGGGAGTTAGTACCTGTTTTATCAGAAAGTGTGAGATCTCCTACCTGTCCATCTATACACTTTGTTAAAACTTTCTTACATGTAGTTTTCAAACTTTTACTTTTGTAATTTTCTGTTTTCATGTTACATTATTTATTTCTTGGCCACACTGCATGGCTTGTGGGAT